AGAAATTATTAGAAATTATAACATCTATATATACAATAAGTTATTACAACATACACTATATAATCAACTTTAAACCCCAAATATGCTTTTTTAATCATAAAAGTCTATTATATAGAACTTTATAATTAAACTACTACTTTCAAAAGATTTTACTATAAACATTAAATACAATGCAATACTTAATATAATAAACAAACTAATGAAACTTATATATAATATTATTCAAGGAAATATAAGATATTGAATAATTAGTATATATATTTTTTAGGATTATAATAAGTATATATAAAGTATTAGATAAGATAATCTCAAATAGAGATAAGCTTTTTATCTCGAAATTCTGGATTATTTTATTAGTATTTATAGATGTTAAGAGAAAACTATTAATAGTTTTTCATTTATAGATAGATGGTTAAACAGAAAAAATTAATTAGATAATGGAAGTATATCTTAAATATTATATAAATTATTAATAAGACAATTGGGTAGAATTATTATCTATAGTATAATTTGTATATAATATATCAAAAACAGAAATCATAAAGATAATATCAGTATATACTAACTTTGGGTTTAATTCTAAAGTATATTAAAGATTAATATTATAGAAAGTTAATATTAAATTAATAATAATATAAATCGAATAATTAAAAGATTTATAAAAACAACTCGTTTTTAATTTAAGATTTATATTATTTAGAATGGTAATATATTATAATATAAAATATAATATGGAATCTATATTTAAAAAGGGGGATAAAGTTTATTTGTTATAATAAAATATTAAAATCAAAAGATTAAGTAATAAACTTGATTATGAAAAACTAGAATTATTTAAAATTGATAAGCTAATAAAAATAATTAATTATTAATTGAAATTATCAAATATAATAAATATTCATCTAATATTTTATATATCCTTGCTCGAATTAGTATTATTAGGAGTATTAAATACGCTATTTATAGAAATCAAATCAGTCAATTTAAATATTATATATGATATTGAAACAATACTAAATTGTAAATATATTAGGAGTAAAATTAAGTATTTAATTAAATAATTAGATTATTTATATTCGGAAAATATATAGTAATTTAAGAAAGATCTTAACTTTTCTAAGAAATTATAGGTATTCTATCTGAAATACTTATATCTATTAGTAAAGTTCCAAGCTTGATATTAAATAATAAAAATAATAAAGAATTAAAAAAGTTAAAGAAGGGGGAATTATTAGGAATAAGTATAATAATATTTACGATTTCTTTATTTATATATTCCTTTTCTAGCTTTTTATTTTTCTTTATTTTCAATAATTCATTAAGAGTTTATAAATTATAATAAAGCATTTTAGATTTATACTTTAATAAAAAACGTTTTTATTTTTATAACTATAAAATTTTGATTATAACTTTCTCCTCCTTTTGATTTAATTTTTCCTTTTATTGAGATAAACTTTCTTAATTATTTTTAGATAGATTTTAAACATTATATTTCTTATAATTATGAATATATTTATTATATTATAAGGAATCAAAAGGTGAAATAATATATTTATAATTGGTATATTTATATAATGAATATAAAGGTATTTTGAAACTTTTTTATTTAACAAAATGAATAAAACGAATTTATTCTTTTCTTTTGTTAATATTCAGAGAAAATATAATGTAAAAAGAAAACCAAAAACATTTATTAAAATAATATATTAATATAAAGGATCTTATTATATAGATGTTTAGAATAAATGTTAATCTAAAAAGGGGATAGTATTATAAAGATACTCGTACTATAATATGAATTATAAGATAAATTTAAAATTTTAATATTGAAATTTACGAAAACAATACTATAAGAATAATTGAATTAAAGAGTAATTAAAAATAATAATAATTAAAAAAATAAGTAATAATTAAAAAATAATTATCTATCTTTTATTAATACTTACCTTATAATAAGTACAAAGTGGATAATGATTATAAATTATAAAGTAAGTATAAATTAAATAAATAGTAATATTATTACAAATTATAAGAATAGATATCATATAATAAATAGATATAAAGTAACAGTACTTTAAAAGAGATTAGTTCTTTTAATTATTTAGGAAAGTATAAAGGTTTATATAAAAGAATGAATTTCATTATAATATAAAGCTTTATACTTAAGAATAATCATTAATTTTATTACTATAATTATAAGAATTACAATCAATTACAATCTTATTAAATTCCTACTTAAAGTTTAATCTAAATCATTTCGAGAGAACTCTAGATACTTTTACATGACCCTAGAGACAGCTCCCGTAACACTATTATATAAACATTTCAAATTACTAAAATAATTAATATTAAATAATTAAATTAAATGATTTAAATATAATAATAAATATAAATATATAATATTATTTTCTTTATAATATACTTAAAAAGCTGTTGATTTATAGCTTTTATATTTATTTAATATTAACATTTGATATTTACTCTTTTTTTGATTCTTAATATACTTATTAAAGTATTTCAATTATTTTAAATCTGTTTTATTATTTATCTATTTATTAGATATAGGTTTAATAATTTAGTTTGTAAAAAGATTAATTTTGATATATTAATTGGAAAGATAAAAAAAAATTTAAATTATTAAAAATAAAAGAATAATTTCGTTTCCTTTATTTCTATATATTATTGTTATAGTTCATTCTTGATTATCTAATTATACTAATTTACTTTTATTATATTTTTCAATATTAATAATAATTATTATTATATATATAATTCCTATTATAAAGCCTGTTTTATTGAAATTATAAAAATCTCCGTTCAAAATGTTATATTTCGCTTATATATTCATAACTAATCGAAATTATTCTTCAAAAAGCTTAGGATCTTTATAAAAAGCTCTTTGAAAATTATAAACATAATTAAAACGTATCTTTAATCCTTTATACGTTTTATGAATTAATATGCCTAAAGCTTTCCAATAGCTTTTCCTCCTTTCAATTCGAGAATATAATTCGTTATATCTTTTATCCATTTAAGTTTAAAAGAAAAATCTTTCAAATCTATATTAAAAATATATGAAATAATCACTTACTCTTTTATTTTAATAAGTTTTAAATTTTATAATTGAAATTCAATTGTAAAAGTTATTCTATTTATTTTTCAAATAAGTATTATATATATAACATTATATAACTTAATAATCTTTCGAATCAAGAGTTTTTTATCTTTTTCAATAACTTCAATAGCTAAGAATATTCTCCTTTCTTTATTATTCGATTACATAATAAATGATTAATAAATCGCATATTAAAATTAAAAAATGTAAATTAAGGTAAAAGTAATATATATACTAATATAATACACGCATTGATAAACTACATTATATAGATTAGTAATTCCCTCTTTATACGAAGAGATTAAATAGAAATATATTACTCTTTTTACTCATACATATTATATATATATACCTTATTAAGTCTACTCAACATAATCCTTATTATAAAGTTTGTTTTATCGAAATTATAGAAATCTTTATTCAAAATGTTATGTTTCGTTTGTATATTTGTAATTAATTGAAATTGATTTTTAATAAGTTTAGAATTTTTATGAAGAGTTTTTTGAAAGTTATAAACATGATTAAAATATATCTTTAATTCTTTATAACGTTTTATAAATTAATATATCTAAAGCTTTCTAATAGCTTTTCCTTCTTTCAATTTAAGAATATAATTCATTATATCTTTTATTCCTTTAAATTTAAAAAGAAAACCTTTCGAATTCATATTATGAATATATGAATTATTTTTTTATTTTTTTATTTTAATAAATTTCAGATTCTATAATCGAAATTTAATTATAGAAGTAATTCTATTTATTCTCTAAATAAGTATTATATATATAATATTATATAGTTTCATAGTCTTTCAAATCGAGAGTTTTTTTTTTCAATAGCTTCAATAGCTAAAAGTATTCTGTCTTCTTTATTATTCGATTATATAATAAATGATTAATAAATCGCATATTGAAATTGAAGAGTATAGATTAAGATAAAAATAATACATATACTAATATAATATATATACTAATAAACTATATTAATTCAATTTAAAGCTTTTCTTCCAAAATGTCTCTAACCTTATATAGTCTAATCAAATTCAAGAATTTCCCTTAAAATCTCTTTAATAAATCTCTTCAATCCCCACTTTCTATACTAAGAATAATAGATTTTGACTAATATTACATACTATATTTCAGTGACGAATATGCGAGATAATATATCATGAAAATGCCCAACCCTAATAGGAACAAAATCATTCCTAGCCTCTCGGGACTTACTCCATCCAAGTCGGGAGACAGTAATCGGCTGGAAGCATTCATGTCACATTAGCAGCGCCCAATCCTCAAATAAATTACCAAGCATCAATTCCTGACTATTCTCCCCTCTTCACTGTGGCTGTCTCTAAATTAATTCATTGATTCTTTGCTCTGCAACTTTTGTTTTATATGTACTGTGCTGGACAATGCGCTGGGCAGGCTGGATAGATTCAGCTTTTCGATTTATGGTGATGGTCTTAGAGAAAGTATGTAAATATCCAAACCTTGAATCGCAGGGAAAAGGTGTTATTGATATATTCTCACAATATTCATCCATTTCTCCCTCTTTACACTCACTCCTACACACCACGAAATCTTTCCTTTCCCCTCTCCACGCACCTGAACGGCACCTTATCCTCTTTCGCCATCTTCAGCACTATTTGCGCTTGATTGCATCTTTTAAGTACTTCCTTTGTTTCTATAATAGCTTTTTCATAAACTTCTCTCCTCTGTTGATTGTTCATATTCTGTACTTCTTCATTACTCGCCCATCTCGACACATCCAACTCCACACTATATTTCTGAAATATCACAGCCAAAACAGCAATCATTTCCACCTACGCGAATTCTTTACCCAGACAAGCGCGTGGCCCCTCGCTAAATGACATGAATGCTCCTTTGACTGGTTAAAACAATGTAAAGCTCTCATTATCAATTTCATCCTTCGCCCAATCCTCATCTTCATCCTCAACAGCATGGATTATCTCTTCGCGCTCTTCCACGTTCCCAACAAGCCATCTTTCCGGTACGAAATCATTCAAATCCGTGCGTCCTTCCTCTAAAACACGATGCGGCCAATACCTAGGGTTCCTATACGTCCCTACATTATTCAGATGAATAAAACATCCTTCCGGCACCAGTTTCTCCACCCAATCAACTGTAACCTTCTGTTCACCTACAGTAATCTTCGGTATTGTATCCGCTATAGGCATTAATCTCAATTCTTCATTCAGCACCGCTCCTACCTCACTATTGTACAGTTTTGGAAATCACGCGAATATGTCCAATTCTGTGGCTTCTTTAAGCCGACAATCAAGTCGATATCAGCCTGCATAGATGTCTGAGATAACACCGAAATAGCTAGGTAGACGAAACAAAGTTGGATGCTGGATCGAGTTGTTTCATGGCCAGCGAGGAGAAATATAAAGGCATTTGACTTAATTTCGGCTTCAGTGAGGGGTAAATCATCGTTTTGATTTAACATTACAGGATCCTTAGAGAGATTCGGAATTTCAGTGGATGCCTTGAGCATGTTCCCTCGGGATTCTTAGTTCATCGGTATAGATATGCCCATTGTAGTTGCAATCTTACCCATTAAATCCATTGCAAATTTGTCATAATCTCCAGCTATTATATGCTTTTTTTTATGTTCGAGTAGTCCGGTAACGTATTCATTTGTTCCTTTAAACGCTTTATACACCTGTCTATGGCGCTTTCTAGGTGAAATTTCTAGAAATATCAGCAGAATGAATGTTTTGAAGGGGGCCTAAGTAACTTACTCAATATCCATTGCGGCCATAACCGTATGAGCTATATCACTATTAGAACCTATCTTTTTCTATGAATTTCATTCCATTGTTACTTACCAGAAGACTACTCAAAACCATGTTAATGTAATCTTTGAATCCCAATGAATGTTCTCCAACTGGTTTACTCAAACCCAAATTCGGCATCGTTTCCCCTTCTATCTTCGAATCCGCATTACTCAGAACTTCTTCATCTCCTTCCCGCAGCTGTGGTACTCCAAATTCCACAGCGCAAATAACATGCAAACTTAAAATTGCCATATGACTCCCCGCATCTTCCACCTTCAACTCATCATAACCATTCTCCCTGCTTCTACCCCTACTCCCCCTCGTCCCTCTCCTCTGCCAAATTCTAATCATCCCCTCCGCTTGCCTAATACTCTCCGCCCAGACTAACTTTATACTTTTGTCACCAAAGCTCTTCCCCACTACTTTTTAATGTCTCCTATATTCCTCTCCTTCAAGCGTCAAAATATTCTTCCCAAAAAACTCCAACACTTTATAATTCTTCACAGGTTTAACAAAGTCATTTTTGCGCGTTGTGAATTGTGCTATTAGCTCTGCGTTTGTCGTGCGTAAGAGATTAAGGTTCGAGGCCGCGAATATGTAGGTGTCTCCATGAGGATCATAAGAAGAGCGGAGATTAAGGAAGGAGTTGCGGTGGTTGGCTATACTATGGGGATGTTAGATGGTTGATGGGCTATTCGCTGGGGGGTTTTGGATTGGGGTAATGGGAATAATTGAGGGTAGAAAAAACTCACTATGGCCATCCCCAAAGCTTCGTCCCAGGTAGTCCTCTCAGAATTGGGATGATAAATTTCAACGTAAGAATATTTCTTAATCCAATTGGCGCAAGGGCTATAACCACCCATTTCGATCAGCACTTTTGTTTTCTTTGACTCCAGACATTAAATACGGTGTACACTCACGCGTCTCAATAACCGGAAATCCAGTTTTTTATGCTCTCCGTCTATATTACAATAATCCATTACATGCATTTCCCACTTTCCATAGCAGAAACGTTCATAGAGCAAGTCCGACCATTCCGAATTCTTCGACGTTCAATGCGATGCACAGTAATTTGGCAGGACGATAAAAAACGAATCACAACTTCCCAAGTTGCAAACAAGAATTCAACATGTAGTTAGAAACCCGTCAATTGATTGATCAAAGAAATGATCTTCCATCACTTTAACCCTAACATGAATAAAAAAAAGCAAGTAGACCGAGTAAAATTCAACATATGTAATCCTTCATACATGTACATGTGTAAGATACGGAGCTGTACCCCTCATTCATAATCTCGACACCTATCATTGTAGCTCGTAATGTAGATAATCCTTCAAAGATGGGTTGCCTAGGTACGCATGTAAGATGAAGGAAAACATGTGGATACAGATAAACATAAGCAGAACCTCCATTCAAAACAACTATTGAATTTTATATGGAGGTAATTATGGAGTCGTTATATTTATTTAATCGTCCATGATTCCCCAAAGATTCCCTCCAAAACCAGGGTGCCGTGGAAGACATCATCTGTACTTCGTAACACAGTCTAGACTTTAAAAGCTCAACGCTCACAGCTGAAACCCACTACTCCCCTGAAATGATAACCCAACCATAACCAATTCCCCTCCCTCGCCCTCATACCGAGGCCGACAACGCGCATTTGGACAATATACTAAAAATAGATTTTTGCCTGAGCTAAAGACGTATTTAGAATTCAATAATGTATTTGTAAGAATAAAATATTCAATTTAGTATCCTCTAGACCGTTAGTTATAGTCGGGAAATATAGTTCGTATATAAGTAAGAACATTAATAACTTTATATATTATATTAAAAATAAAAATCATTTAGTTTAAACTATATATTAGAGACTATTAAAATAGTTATAATTAGAAGATTTATTATAGATTTATATATTTTATTTATATATAAAAAAAAGTTAAAGTTTTAAAATCTTATTATATTTCATCTTCGAAAGAAGTATAATATATTATATTAAGACCTATTAGATTATAATACTTTAATTAACTAATAAGACATTATAAGCGAACCCGGTCGTAGCTAGCGGTCTAGAGGGTATAATCTTAAGGAATTTAATAAAATAGAAAAACAAAAAACTTATATACTAGGGGCCTGCGAGCCCTCAGACTTCTTACTTTTCGAGAAAGTATTATTTAATAAATTTTGTTATTATAATTTTTTAAATATAACTTTTTAAATATAGTTTTTTAAATATAATTTTAAATAGTAGTTGTATTGAGAGCTTACAGGCGAAGTCGATTTACCTTCTTTTAACTTCTTTAATTCTTTTAATCATAATCATAATAATAATAATAATAATAATAATAATAATAATAATAATAATAATAATAATAATAATAAGGAAGTTAATAAACCTTTAATTCGTCTTAAAAACACTATATATAAACTTCAATCCTTTGTATAGGCTTTATATTTGGAGTTAGAATTATAAAAATTATATTATTTAAAAGTTTTAGTTTATTCTATATGATCACTACTTTTTTAATTCTTTATTTAATTTAATTAAGATAATTTTATTGAAAAAGACGATTAATGTTTGAGATGTTACATTATATTATAATGCTAATAAAGTCAAAATTCATTCTAATTAATTAGATCGCTTGAATTATATCTTATTAAGGAAGAGTCTCTATCTTTCGTATATAAGTCGGGTACTCTACTTTCGGGCCACCCCTGTTTTAGGTCATTCTTTACCATCAAAAATCCCAAAAAAATGGAATTTTTAACTTTCTTATTTATCGATAGAATTTATTGAAAATTTGTGTATATATAATTCAGATTGTTTTGAATCTATTCTGAAATTTTTAGATTTTTAGGATTTTTCTATATTGAGATTTAGAGCTTCAAAATATCGATTTTTTAATTTATATAAAAATTATATACAAATTTAGAACTTTTATAAAATCTTTAATAACTTTTTAATAATAATTATTAAAAGAGAACTGTATATCTTTTTGAAAGTTTTGAATTTAAATTTATATAGAAATTCAAAAAAATTAATAAATATAGAGATATAATATATAGTGAGTTTAGAGTTGTATAAGTAATTCCTGTAATTTTGAGGGTATTTTTTTAAATATCTATCTATAAGAAGTTTTCTATTTTTTTTTAATCTTTTGAAATAAATATATTATAAACTTATAATAAAACTTTATAGTTTATTTTTAGTAATTTTTATTAAAAAGTTATTAAAGATTTTATAAAAGTTTTAAATTTGAATGTAATTCCTATATAAATTTAAAAATCGATATTTTGAAGCTTTAGATTTCAATACAGAAAAATCCTAAAAATTTGAAAATTTCAAACTAAGCTAAAAATGATCTAAATTATATATACATAAATCTTCAATAAATTCTATCCATAAATAAGAAAGTTAAAAATTCCATTTTTGGTGTGAAAAGTGGCTTAAAAGTGGCCCAAAAGGGGGGTGGCTCGAAAGTAGGGTACCCGACTTATATAGTGTTATGGTCCTTGCGGACAGTGAGATTATTAAGGAGGTAAACCTCCAATAAAATAGAAGTAGTAAAATGACTTCTTTAGGTGTGATTTTGATAAGTGGCTAGTAGCGGTGCGTTAGTACTATACATCATTATCGATTGCGAGCTCGAAAAGCTCCAAGCTCTAAAAATAAGCCTGACATATTTCGTTTGGATAACAAACCCCAACACACATGATAGTACCAAGCACGTATTCCTAAAGGCAAACCCTGAATTAAGACCCGTTCCATATATTGATATCCTTTCTCATACATGTAGTACCTACACCATACCATTGCCGTTTCCAAACCTTGCCGGCCGCCTGTACCGCACATTTCCTAATTTACCCATCCGTCTCGATTGCATAACCCCTCATCCCTCGATGAGACCCTTTGATATCAGCCATTCGTTACATCCTCATCCCTCAAACTCGTTTCTCACCCTATCTATTTGACTTTAAATATATTATCCCAACTCCTCGGTCTAGGTCGCCGTCCGTCGCTAATATCCGGGCACGCCGGGCAACAGCAAGGCAAGCACGGACACCCGTACGGGCATCAGTGAAAGCCATTTTTTCGCTTGCACGCTACCATCGGCAATTAGAGATTAAGTTTTTGACCCAGTATAGGGGACCTATCTGCTATGAAGCTCTTGGCCCCTCTCAGATAATGACTATGCTGGAAGAAATATTTGAATGTATACTCTCTAATCTTGGAAAATTCTGATCAATTAACAAGTTAGTTAATGATTAATGCTTGATTAGTGTGTGAATATAAGCTGCATGTGATGTACTCAAACACATTATATATCTCTCCCTTTTCATCCTTATTAATCTTCGCATTAATGATAGATAATTGTACCTCATTGGTACGTCATTTCAAATTCACCCTCTTCACCCCGGTAATTTAAGCCTAAAAGCACCTCTCCCTCAAACAAATTCCTAATTAATTCGTTCCCCTACGGAAAGCCTACGGAAATGCAACGGAATGGTCACGGAAAGGGTTACTATAATGGTAGCCAAGAATTTAAAAATGCAAACATTTCAATACATCCAAACAGAATCTAACAAACGCTCAGAAAATCATCAAACGAGGTACGTACTGCGTAAACAAATCAAAGCACCACTTCAACTTTCTACCCCCCAAAAGCTTCTTCATTAAGCTCTTTTAGTCGCTTCGCATACATTCATCCAAACCTCATGATTATGCATATGCAAATCTACAAACGGAATCAGGTACTCTAAATTTTACATTATCCATATGGATAGGCAGGTAGAAGGGTAGGTAACTAGTACATGCACATGCAAATCATACCCGTCTAGCCACCCATTCAACGACACTCAAATCAAAAGAAGTAGGTAACAATATTTGTTGATTATTCCAGGCCTTTTTGCATCTAGCCCCGACTACCGTATACATTCTCGTCTCATTTCTTCTTCTAGCTTTGATTTGCTTTGATTCTCTCCAATCTGCCTGATTTCATTCCCCGCATTTTCATGCTTCTTGCCTTCCAATGCCATATATGCAATATGAGAAAAGGCAACGAATTAATGAGTAGATATGTAAATAAAAATATTCAACTCTCCTAACAATAATTTAGCCTGACTGGCCATCAAGAGTACCGCCTATGAGTTCCATGCTTCAAGTAACCTTTGTGAGTCGAGAAACTGCGTCCATAATTCCATGTACAAATTACCTTCATTCACATGTCCAATCATCCATCTCATATCATTACCCTTAAAACACCAATCCATTCCACAAGATACTATCCCGTACCAATAATTCAATCCATCAACCTCCATTAAGAATACCGTAACAAAGTACCGAAACAAATTGTGCAGGGAAAAAAGAGAAGTTGTCCACGTATTAAATCTCCAAACCCGAGTGAGTCCAGGTTCAAAGTCCAAAGGTTCCATCCAAGGCTAAGCCCAAACTTTTCCACCACAAAACTCTGCCAACCCATTTCAATTCCACCTCCACCCATTCAGTAATATCAATAAAGCGCAAATATCAGTCGCGAAAATGAGAGAACAGTGAAAGAAGAATTCGCATAAAGCACAACACGTAAAAGAAGCGATTTCGAGAAAAAAGAATAGACCACCCAAATCGAACGCTTGCACCACCACCATCTCATCTCATCTTAGTCTCCCCCGATTTCATGCATATAAAATGTTTTCCAGTCAGACATGCTATGATATGATATTCGCTCGTTTTCTCATGGAGATATGCCGTCATCCCACGAGGAGGGTCATAATAAAAGCGCCAATACTCCCCTCCCCTTTGCTTTTGGATAAACCTAAAGAAAGCCGTTTCTTAACCCTGGTGAATATTCGAATCTTGTTTAAG